AAGTTATTATATATATATATATATATATATATATATATATATATATATATATATAAATATTCATAAATTATTATTAAATTATTTATATATAAATATTAATAAATTATTATTGAATTATTTATATATATGTAATTTATATATATTATATAGCTATATTATATTAGCCTAATTGTGATATATAGTTATATTATATATATATATAATTTATATATATATTATATAGCTATATTATGTTAGCCTAACTGTGATATATAGTTATATTATATATATATATATAATTTATATATATATTATATAGCTATATTATGTTAGCCTAACTGTGATATATATATGTAATTTATATATATTATATAGCTATATTATATTAGCCTAATTGTGATATATAGTTATATTATATATATATATATAATTTATATATATATTATATAGCTATATTATGTTAGCCTAACTGTGATATATAGTTATATTATATATATATTATATAGCTATATTATATTAGCCTAATTGTGATATATAGTTATATTATATATATATATATAATTTATATATATATTATATAGCTATATTATGTTAGCCTAACTGTGATATATAGTTATATTATATATATATATATATTATATAGCTATATTATATTAGCCTAATTGTGATTCCATATATAATATACATATAATCTCCGCAATTAGCTATTTTAGTATAAATCCAAATTACTTAAACACACGGTTACCTGCACGAAGTGCTGCTTATCGTCTTCATGCAGCTCGAACATTATAGTGCTGCTGTACGAAGGAACTTTATGGTCGAAATTGTCCAAAGCGACTAGAATCGCGGCAATATTTAATTCATGGCAAGCATACATGAACGCCTTTCGTTTGTCATTTTGATTTAAATGATCATCGACATGCCTTAACCATTCTCGAATCCATACCCCTGCAGATATTTAGAATAATAAGGTCCTAGCCACGTTGTAAAATTCTTCACGAATTCGTGCAACAAACAGCAACGCGTACGCGTCATTTTAACAAAAATTAATCAAAACTTTGCTATAGTTAAAACCGTGAATATTGCGAACGTACCGCCCATCAATTGCTTCTGTTGCGGGGTCCTATTTTGAATAAGAATATCGAATACGGCAAGTTCGTCTAATTCTCCATGTGGAAAGACTTTATGCGTCCACTTAGGCAGTTCTAAGCCAATATCTCTCTGGAAATAATTCAAGTGCTTAGCATATCTTTCTATCGCGTAATAACGGGGCACGAAAACTCGATAGTAATAGGATAACATTCAAGGTAAAACAGGTTCTATCGCGATAGTCATTGCGTCGATATTGCTCTATTCTATTTTTCTCAATTGCAACCGAAAAAGATCTATTAACGTATCGTTATAAATAATAGTTTTATTCACCGCGTTCCGCCGCCACGTTGTTAGCAGCGTTAATCAAGAGATTCTCAGTTATACTTTGCTAATTAATTTCGTTTCTTCGATGAACAGGCTGTGCAATCCGACGCGTTACATTGTTTCTGATGCTTAAAGAACCACGATCGCTGATCAGGTATAGATTCCGTACTATAAATAGGTTCGTTAAAAGTTCGTTAAAACACTCGAAAGCTGCAATTATTTCGAACAGCGCCGGCGCAATGTATTTCGCTCTTGACAGAACGCTAGATCGAATTTCATACAATTATCCGACGCGAACAGCGACGCGCGTAAATATAAAACGACCGGCATTTAAATTTTAGAACAGCGCGCAAATTGCGACGCGTTCATTGATCGATGTTGAAAAGCTGCGACGACATAATGTTGTTCCTTTTTCGGTAATAAATAATTAACGTGATCCCGAGCCGTCTATTAATAACATTGCTCACCTGCGCGTACAATAATTGACGCAAATTGAACGTTTTCTGCTGCGTGATGTTGCCGCCGGTGTGCTCGGACAGGTAACCGTAAATATTCCTGTGCTCCGCTTCGAATTTCGCTACGACCGGGTCCGTACTTTCCACGTCGGCCCTCAGTTTCCAGAAATTCGTGCAGTGCAAACCGTTGTAGAGATAATCGGTGGACATTGGCGGCGCCCATACCGGAACAGGCTGCCAATTTAAACGGGGATTCCACCTGTAACGTGCAGACGGCTTTGTTTTTCATTGATCGACGCTTCCGCGCGCGCTCTGGCCAGGATAATACATCATTAACGATTACTAATTGAAATTGCACATTTGTTCCTTAGACGGCGGGTAGAGGCCGGCCGCGACTAGTTCGCCAGTCATCACGACTCTGTCGATCTCGTCCGCGCGGAACCAAATTGTTTCCTTCGTGTAAATTGGGCCGAGGAACTTGTCGTATCTCTCGCGAAGGTACTGGCCGAGTTCGAACGACGACATTTTCCCAACCTGAGGGAACAAACAATTTTTCCTTGACGGATATGCGTAGGTGTTTCTGATCGTATAAATAGATAGATGTTAATTATAGATAAAAATAATTATAAATATATATATTTATAATATATAATATATATTATAAATATAATATAATATAATATAATATAACATAATATAATATAATATAATATAATATAATATAATATAATATAATATATTTATATTATATATTATTATAATAATGTATATAAATTATAGATAATAATAATCGAACGAATTACAATTAAATTATCCCCAATTTTTCTGCGGCCCGTAAACAAAAATGGAGAATTTTGAGAAAGGAGATACGAATTATTCGAGGCTCGCGGCTCGCTTGTATGGTTGCCGATTGTCAACAAATTACAAAAATTGTCCTTTTTTGTTTGCAAGCTAATGGAAAATTAGGGAGAATTTTTACTGCAATCCTGAAGAAACGGTGATACGTAGAAATAATAATTACACGAAATTTCTGAATTACGCTCTGCGCACGATTCCCAATTATTATTTAATTACCCAGAGGCTTTCAAACAATTCTTCGAATATTAAAAACGTGCAAGAGTTAGAAATTATGGAAACTTTAAATTACTTCGCCGCGGATTACTAATTAGTGGTCTGCGGTAAATTATGCGCGCTCTCATTTTTGTTCTGGACTTCGAGGAAACAAGAACAGAAAGGAAGTCTGATCTCCTCCACTCCGAGTTTCAATTGCAATGCAACGCATAAGAATAAGAATTAGTTAAACTGCAAGCGTGATAATATTTGCAGTCCACTTTCCTATGACGTTCACGTCATTACTAGACTGCGAAGATGATGCATTTATGACAAAAATGATGCGATCAATAGGATTTGGAAATACAAAATGATAAAAACTAGTCAAAAATTTAAAAACACCGTTGCATTATTTTCAACTCGTTATAATAATTCAAGAACGAAGTGAACGTTAATTANCGCGCGCGCTCTGGCCAGGATAATACATCATTAACGATTACTAATTGAAATTGCACATTTGTTCCTTAGACGGCGGGTAGAGGCCGGCCGCGACTAGTTCGCCAGTCATCACGACTCTGTCGATCTCGTCCGCGCGGAACCAAATTGTTTCCTTCGTGTAAATTGGGCCGAGGAACTTGTCGTATCTCTCGCGAAGGTACTGGCCGAGTTCGAACGACGACATTTTCCCAACCTGAGGGAACAAACAATTTTTCCTTGACGGATATGCGTAGGTGTTTCTGATCGTATAAATAGATAGATGTTAATTATAGATAAAAATAATTATAAATATATATATTTATAATATATAATATATATTATAAATATAATATAATATAATATAATATAACATAATATAATATAATATAATATAATATAATATAATATAATATAATATATTTATATTATATATTATTATAATAATGTATATAAATTATAGATAATAATAATCGAACGAATTACAATTAAATTATCCCCAATTTTTCTGCGGCCCGTAAACAAAAATGGAGAATTTTGAGAAAGGAGATACGAATTATTCGAGGCTCGCGGCTCGCTTGTATGGTTGCCGATTGTCAACAAATTACAAAAATTGTCCTTTTTTGTTTGCAAGCTAATGGAAAATTAGGGAGAATTTTTACTGCAATCCTGAAGAAACGGTGATACGTAGAAATAATAATTACACGAAATTTCTGAATTACGCTCTGCGCACGATTCCCAATTATTATTTAATTACCCAGAGGCTTTCAAACAATTCTTCGAATATTAAAAACGTGCAAGAGTTAGAAATTATGGAAACTTTAAATTACTTCGCCGCGGATTACTAATTAGTGGTCTGCGGTAAATTATGCGCGCTCTCATTTTTGTTCTGGACTTCGAGGAAACAAGAACAGAAAGGAAGTCTGATCTCCTCCACTCCGAGTTTCAATTGCAATGCAACGCATAAGAATAAGAATTAGTTAAACTGCAAGCGTGATAATATTTGCAGTCCACTTTCCTATGACGTTCACGTCATTACTAGACTGCGAAGATGATGCATTTATGACAAAAATGATGCGATCAATAGGATTTGGAAATACAAAATGATAAAAACTAGTCAAAAATTTAAAAACACCGTTGCATTATTTTCAACTCGTTATAATAATTCAAGAACGAAGTGAACGTTAATTAATGCGGGGAAATTTTATTTTGACCGAAAATCCGCAGATTAATGATGATACAGTTACTCTTCTTCGCTCGATTCTCTAACCGAGATCAGCAAACAGGTAGCCTAGGTAAAATACAATTACGACAACGTACGTTCGTCAAACCTCCAAATCCTTCCGGTTCATAGGTCATGTGAACATACGGATCCTTAGGATACACTTTTGACCCGTTTGTAGGCATTCTGTTCGAGTGTCTGAACACAGCTTGCAGAAGTTTGAGCTCGGCATGGCAGAGTTGCAGGTGAGCCAGGCAACCGACGATTATCAAAATCCACGCAGAGTTCATGTTTCTGGATCAGAAATACGTATATTCGATAACAGGTTCAATGTGAAATATTTGATACAAAACAATGACGAATTAAGATCAAAATTATATTAATATATCGTATATATTGTAAATATAATAATAGAAAAATGACGAATTAAGATAAAAGTCATATTAATATATTGTACATGTTGTAATTATAATAATAGAAAAATGGCGAATTAAGATAAAAATTATATTAAATATATATATATACATATTGCAATTATAATAATAAAAAATATGATGAACTATTATTAACATTCATATGAAGATAAAAATTATATTAATATATTATATATATTCTGATTATAATAATTGTAATTATATTAATATCTTACGCGATATGTATATTGTGTAGATATAGTAGATTTTGGAAACTATTCCACTTATTTCTAGACAGCGTGACGCAAACAAAACTATGCCGATGCTCGTCGCGATCTGCCGCGTGTCCTTTGAGCGCGTCCTTTTATCAACGCACTGATCGAACGTTACGAATCCTCTTTCGAATTTGTTTGTTTCGTTCGAACAAATTGCCTAACGTCCACCGATCGACCAAGCAGGGTCGCGATCCAACATCGCGACTCTCACATACGCGCGCACACGTAGGTCGCGTGGGGTTAACGCACGGGAGTCCCCGAGCACCGATCAGCTGTTATAATTTCGGAGGTCGCTTCGAAATCGTAACGAACTCGTGTATTCTCCGGTCGTCAACCCTCGAGACTCCTACAAAAGTCTATATAATATAATATATATATATATATAATAATATATATATAATATATATTCTATTTTATATAATATTAATATTTTACATTTTAGTTTTAAATAATATATTAGGTTAAGCTTTTCCTTTGGGGTTCCTATTTGTTCGACTTTCCAGTGTACATTCCAATGGATTTCGGGGAGGAAAGTCCAAAATTCGAAGTCCCGCGCGCGCGAATCTCGGAACGTAATTAAGATAAGTCCTGAATTCATTTGTTAAAAAGTTACGCTCATTGAACTATGTCGGTGGATCGAGGACGCGTCAATTTGGCGCGCTGATCTGATAAAAATGCTGGAAATTCGTCAACTTTGGACGCGTATAATTTTGTAACAAATGAATTCAGGACTTATTTTAATTATAACAGTAAAAAAAAATCGAAACACCCAAGGAAAAGTTCAGCCATATAGCATATTAATAAGATTATATGAAAAATTAGAATATATAATATTATATATTAATATCACGTTAATATAATACTATAATAATAATATATCAATATCACATTAATATAATACTATAATAATAATATATTAATATTACATTAATATTATACTATAATATTATATATTAATATTACATTAATATAATACTATAATAATATATTAATATTACATTATTATAATACTATAATAATGATATATTAATATTACACAATAAGTGTAATAATATTGCATATACAAATGATTTATGAACCTCCTCGTTTGACACTGACAATTCTATGCGGCTCGAACCGTGACGCTGTTCGCAAAATAAGAACCTAAGCATATAAAAGGGGATATTCTATCCTAGATTGAAAGTCGTGACATCCATGTGCGATGGTTGTTTAGTATAACGGGTCATAAAAATCGAACGGAGGTGGCTATCAGCGTAGTCCATTCAAGGTGACACGCGTGCAGGGCGTACGAAAATTGATGATCATGGTTTCGGAAGATGAATTGCACCCGCGGGCGGTATGAGCATTTTTCGAAAAGATATCGTGCTAGATTTTTGTCTTTTTTTTTTCTTGTTCGAAATCGAAAATTCTCGATCAACTTGCGACGCCTGCAGGTGGCAAAGTTTAACGAGAGCTGTAAAAGAGCGTTTCAAACAGTCGTACTCGGTAGACGCGATTTGCTAAAGGTTTCGCAGGCAGTTTGATAGCGCGGAGTTACGCACGCACACTGCAAAATATCCTATAGCGTGTACGTGTGCTCTTACAAAAGGCGGCATTTAAGGAGATGAGAAACCCGCGGTGCTCGCTGTGCATCGACGGCGGCCGTCAAAGGCCTTGAACCGTGTCGCTTTTCCGCTCTGATTGTACAAATTCGAAGTATTTAACGATATAATGGAATGGCGATTTTCGAGAGCAAACAGGAAACATGAATAGAATAAGATCTGGTTAATTTGCGAGTTTCGATTGATTCGAAATTGGATGTTTCTTCATTCGATTGACTTGATCGAATGATTGACAACTTGACTATTGACAACTTGATCGAATATTCTTTAACTCGATCGTACATTTTTGATCGAACATTTTTTAACTGGATCGAATGTTGAACACTTTCTTGGAAGATGACTTAAGAAAATATTTATAAGAAAAGAATTAATTCATTGACTAATACAACACTATTCTAATCTGAAATTTTACCGAAATGATAAAGAATAAGACGATTTCACAGTTTATGTATTTGCTAATTAAAAATGGCTCGGCTACCACACAGATCCTTATATCACGTCGAATAATTGATTGAAATTCGACCGAATTGATTAATTTCGCGAAAGCAGCGTCTTTCTTATACACAATGCTCGGAGTCAAAACGAGATTTAAGATGCCGAGTAATTCGCGCATTGAATTCCGGTCTACGGTACATAACAATGAACGTTCAAACAATAGATTCTTGGTGCACGACATTGCGAGGAGTGGCTGTCGGTTTCTATGTAATTCGCGATAATTATCTGACAGCGGCAGGCACAATATCAATTATAAAACGGCATAACGTAGTGTTTGAAGACGGAAATCCATGCGGAAGAGATTTGCCGTCCGTTCTCTTTCGAATCCTAAGAATCCCGAAACGGAAAGGCAACAACAAAAAAGAAAACAGAAAACTCCGACAGAAGTTATAAATTATAAACGATGTAAAAAAATTAGCTCTACGTCGATTTGAAATATCTGCGAAGAACCCGAGCAGATTTGGCGAGCACCAATTAGACGGATTAGACGGCCCTGGTTTATCAGCCTATAAACGGTTAACAGCCGCAGTCTGTTCGCATAAATTTAATTGTACAGCAGTCCGGAATAAATTTATTGGGTCACGGATGTTTTGTGAGATTTAGCAATTTCAAATTTATGCTGCAGCACTCTCGCATTTGAAACGGCAATTTGCGAGGATACAGAGAAAATGCGTATTATAGTCGAATGAACGCGACGTTATCTCTCGTTCAACGTAGAAAAACTTGCCGTAACAATTGTATAAATATTGCGAAATACGAAAATTATCGACTCATTCCGTTCGGACGCGTTTCCCAGAATTTCTACGCGGAACCGCATATTTAAATACGCAAAACAGCGTTGCGAATCTGTTACGTTTCTTTCGGCGCGTGATTATTTATCTCGACTAATGAAACGAAAAAAAACGGCGAAATATGTGACGCATTTATCACGCGCTCCTTGATACCGAAATTGAATTTTTCCACACACACCAGACTGCGATATATCACGTTTTTTTGTCCACGCATTCCAGCACGCAATCGCGTCATTTCGGCAAGTCGGTTGTCAAACATCGGTGAACAACAGTGGCGAACGATGAATATTCAAGGAAAATTAAAATGGAACGGTTACGTCAGCTGCATTAGCGAAACTATTGACGAAGCCCGAGGTGGTACGTGCACGTCCGTCGAAGCGAAAGCGTCGAGAGATGACGTTCCGATAAACGCGAAAGAATACGCAGAACTTTCGCGCCGCGCGAACGAGCGCGGAATTATCGTTCACCGCAAATTCATACCGTTTCTCGATCGCTCCATCGCGCCGGCCTTCGCGATTCCTTTATTTGCAGGCTACTTCCGAAGACAACGATCTAACCTCTTTAGCAACGACCGGAGCTATCGCAATGGAAACGATCAATTCGATGCCTGGCCAACGGGACGACGTTCGCACACAACGCTTCGTTCGGATTTCTCACGAGCCACGTAACCGCACAATTTTCACTGACAATTTTCATAGCCGCCGAATCTTGCCGACTCGATTTTAACGGAACTTATTCGTCATGCTGATAATCACGCTGTCACCACTACTTTCACACTCTGTGAAATTCACCTATGCGCATCGATTAACGAAACACGCGAATCCCATTTGTCACGTGCACGACGAATTGTCATATTTAGACCGCGGATTTTTATGCAAAATACGTAGATATTTACCTCATTTCGTGACAACTTTGATAAGCTGAAAATAGTTTGCTAGTATTGTAAATGCCATGAATGCTACATTTTGTTTTCTCTCGATCAACTGATCTTTGTCACAAATGCATAAAATCCGCAATTAATGGATTTATCACGCGATTATTTGTCAATGGAACTAATACTAACACCATGAGATTTTGCATCAATTTTCACTTTCGTAGAATTCACGCGACGCTGTCATCGATAGCTTCTATCGATTCGAGTGATCATTTCTGTAGTCATTGAAACTAACACGTGCACTGGTCAGATTCGAGGAAATTTCGTCCGGCGATTTCAGATTCGCATCGTGCGAGATAATAGACTGATAAGATAAGATACGAATTTTATTAATACTAAGTTATGGTTGTAGAAAATTTGTCACCTTTGTCCGGCTGATTTACATTATGCCAACGACGCGAATATTTCGAAAGGATATAAACGCGTGGAAAGTAATTAACGAAATAATAATTTCTCTAATGACAATTAGGGAATAATAAAGTCTGCGTTGTTATACGCGAGGTTATTATATTATAATTTTATGGATTTGGAGTTTGGTGAATTTAAGAAACAGGAGAATTATAGTTTTACTTTTATTGGGCACTTCGGTTAAAAAATATTCACTCACCGCGTGTATGCACTCACTTTCGTGTTTCAACGCATTGATACTTCAAAATATGGAACGAAATTGAAACAATTCATTGAACGTCAAGTTTACGCAGATTTTTAGCGATTTTCATCGCAATATATACTCGACGAAACAAAGCGGGATTGATTCTTCGTAAAATTACGTTTACGATCCGAATGATCGTAAATTAAAAAATTCGGAGCCCGTCATTTTTACGAGATCTCGCGAACCTAATCGATGAAATAGAAACTGGAACAATGAGATTTTGATTGGAGCAGCTTCTTCAACTTTCCTGTACTCGCGGATCACAGTTTGTTCACTGAATACACCGAAATCGTCAAAAATATTAAGCTTTAATTGTGCACAATGAATCATGCCACTGGCATACTCGGTGACGCGGCGGTCAATGAATTCGCTAATTGGTAACATAATGCACAGACACGCTCGTGCAGGCACTTTGCATTAATCAGCTGTTCACTTGAACTTACGTGCACCGGCCAGCCGGTATCACGTGTTGTCAGCTCTGTCAATTTGCCAGGAATATTAAAATAAAAGTAGAAACCAGTCGTGCCACATTATCTTTATCAATGTTTTTATGATGTCGAGGCTCTAATCTATCGACAGTTTAAAAAGCTAAATGTGTTGTTAACATATGTAGAAACAATGTATCCTATTGTGTACACGTTCGTCATTAAAATCGATGACGGAAATTTAATTAGTTCGTTCGATTTCGCTTTAACAATATCGACTTCTTTCCGACACCGTTCACTGAAACGTTGCGAGCTTTTTTACAATTTATTTTGCAGATAATAAATTATATAAATAATATAAATAATAAAATATTATAACAAATTATATTTTTTAATAGTTATTTGATTAATAGTATTAATTATTAATAGTATAGATTAATATTATTTTTGATTTAATAGTATTAATAGTATCTTATTAATAGTATTTATAACAATTTTCCTTGCATTAATTATTTACAACGTTCGATTCGATTTCGTCTTTCACTCATTAATTTAGATAGCTGAAATTAATTCTATGCTGAAATAATAATGATCAATTCGAAAGAAAGTGATTCAAATTGTATTATAATTACATTATTACTACGTTATTATTGTAATTGTATTATAATGACGATGTACTATGTGTTCATGGACAAAGAAATTGATGTATTACAATATAATTCTTCATAATTACTTAATTTTTCATAATCACTTGATTCTTCACAATTACGTAATTCTTCATAATTATTTAACTTTTCACAGTTACTTAATTATCCGTCCAATTATCTAAATGAATTGGACATTAAGAAACGTGAAATGAACATTATTATCGTAATTACTATAATTTAAGAAATGCCTGACGACTCACCGTTTACGTATAATACAGAAATCGTTCTGCGATCGAGAGTGAGGAGCTCGTACTTGCTCGCGGATCAAATAACGACTGTGTTGTTCTTCCCGATCATTTTACGCTCGCATTTATAGCTGAGCACGTATTATCATTTAGGAAAGAATTCACGAACTTCGCAGTTTCCCGGAAACGTGATGCCTCAAAAAGATAATTTTTATGGCAAAAAATAATTTGTTGCGGTTATGTAATCAACTGGTTGTTCGAGCCTACTAGTTCGCTGTTAAAAAGATAATAATACTTTTGCGAAAGCATTAACAAATTCAACGCGTGTTATTCTCTAGAAAATTGTATCAACGATCATATTTAACACGTTCACAATTAGCTCTGCGACGACGAGGCTCGGGTTCATTTGTACCCGAAGCATAAATATCGTGTTTCTGATGAATTAATTGAAACCTCAGTTTCCTTCAGATTCATGGAAAAATTAAAATATCCAGAGGGATAGCATCTTAAAGATCACGTTCTGAAAACACATAAATACATAAACAGCAATGTTTCACTCAGAGAAGAAACAAATATTGATCGCCGTCGGATTTTATGCATTCGCACATTCGTATGCGTAATAAAAGTTGTCTGCATCGCATCTTAATAATTTTCATACGCTCGAAGTAATGAAACAGCATCGTCGGATTCCGTGAAACATTGGAATTCGCTGTTTTTGCATTTGATCAAATCATTTTTGCTCGCGAAATCTCTTGCAATTGGTGCAGACTAATTTTTACTTCGAGCAAACGGCAAGAACCGTGAAATAAAATTTCGCGACGATATCTTCGAATTCGTCGTCGTTTAAATCTGTTGAAGCAAGAAGTGATTTCTTGAGTCTTGGAAAGCCTCTACATCCTGAAATGCAGGGTTTCCATATGCCTAAGAGTACACAGGTATAAAAACATGCATCTTCCGTACTCTCATACTGTGCGCTTGTTCAGAAGTGTCTCCTTCACTTCTTTCTTAAACATAGTTATTTACGTGTGTCTCATTCTGCACCCTTTTATTTCAAACAACCCTCTCAACAAGATCGACGAAGATATTTCGAGAAATCACTTCCGCTCTGCATTCGAAAAAAAACTGAACGACTTGAAACGGAGACGCTCCTTAAATCCAGCGCAGAGAAAGCTTTATCGTCCGCCAGAATTCCAAGTAACTCGGCATCGCACCTGGTAAGGTCCACTGACACAAAGATATATTAGAGAGGGTCGCAGTTGTTTCGGGTGAGGTCATAGCCAAGTTCTATAGCATTCAAATGGAGCAGCCGTAAATTATTCATACGTACAGTTTCGAGTTTGGTGCGCGTTACTGGAATCGTGCTTCATAATCGTTATTATTCCATTATCCGTCGCCGGGAAATTACACGAATACTGTCTTTCGAATGACTATTTCACGGTTCAACAGAGTTCGAGATCTGAAATAAGGACTTGCAAGAATTGGGATACAAAATTAGGAACTCCTTCGTGCTATCGTTTTATTTCTATTATTTTGTGCGTTGGTCGATGCGCGAAGATTTCGTTCGTTCATATTTTAACAGCTATTTCAATGAGCAGCGTGAAACTACGTTACGCGTTGGTTTAACATCGTCGCTGTACCGAAAAGGAAATTATGCGAAATCGTCGAGACGGTCTTAAAGTTTTCCGGTGTGCAATAACAGGCAATTCATAACGGAGATCAGGAAATTAACGTGGGAGGAAATCACAGACACTTGTGTCACACATGACTCACCTCAGAGACAGTGACGTGCTCTCGGGCGACGTGCACCTTTCAATTTACAGTGATTCGACGAAGCGAACAATTCCTGAAGATAATGCAATCGTCGGTGATTCGGGTTTCGTTTATCCTGAAGACAGTTTCCAAGCATGAATTCAGAGTTAGAATTCTTGACGAATATCAGGTTTGGAAGAAATTCTTGCAATTGTTTAAAATATATGAATAATAGTAATTAATTTAAACGAGTGCTGCTAAAGAAAGGATGACAATGAAATTCAATTGTCACTTTAAATAATTGATCGATACATATTTTATTCGGAACAGTCAAACGACAGTCTGGCAATCCTTTCTGTGATTAAGAACACGTCGATTTTTTTCAGGAACCATTGGAGTCGGAAGAATTTTACACACGTGGCAAACTTGTATATTATTTAATAATGAATCCAGCATTGCAAACAGATTCCAGAGGAAACTGCGTTTGCATAATACATTGAACAACAGCACCTTCTGTTCGATTCTGTGGACAAACTTTCATGCACTTGTCATAGTTGCAATTGTAAATTAGAAATCAAAGAATATGAAAGTAACTTCGGAATTTCTCGGCAGCATTTAGGAGAAACATTTCCACTACGCTAAATCATAATTTAATTTTTTTACGACAGGTGTAATAATAGAAATTAGACAAAGAAACAACGGACGCTTCCAAGTATAAAATTTCGTTCCTTCAAATGTGTTTTTATTAACAATTAATCAGTTCTTAAAATTTGTACAAAACACGCATTTAAACGCTACGAACCGTCTCGAATCTATTTGATCGAACTTTCATATTGCCATTGATGCTACTACTGTGTAAATATAACAAAGTTGTCGCAACGAACTCCGCTATTCTTGAAGGTGTCCTGAAGAATTGTAAAATACACGAAATTAGAAACATTGTAACGACGCTATGCTATTACAGTATTCTAAAAGTCCCTTCGCTGTGTGAAAATGAAAACGGTTGCGACTCGGTTACGGTAAATTCTCCCCAATTGACCCTCGGCTTGGAAACGAAAATGGACGATTTGGGAACAGAAGGTACGATTATTCGATTATTGTTGCGGCTCGTTTTTATTTTATATCGAATCTCAACGACTGTAAAAACGAGCCGCGAGACACGAATAATCGAATCTCCTCTTTCCAAATTGTCCATTTTCGTTTCCAAGCTGAGGGTCAATTGGGGAGAATTTACGTTACATCGAACGCGCATTTAGAAAAATATTACACAACTCGACGAAGTACAATGCCAATGGAGAACGTGGAAGATCATTCTACAATCGATTTAGAAAACGTTATAAAATGTAACAATATTGCTGAAAACGTAAGCGTAAGATTAACAGTTTCACTTTCATTTACCACTAAACGATATAAACGATGTAAATAATACAAATATAAAACCGCCGTTTGATCTTAGTACGCACTTACGAACAGTTAACCATAAGAATTACACTCTCAATCCGTGGATGTTTTTTTAAATCATATCAACGATCTTCGATCCGACAAAAGTTGAACAATTCGCACGGTTAATTTAAACGTTGTACTTAACGAGATCCTCGGTTACCATTGAAATCGAAATTCTGTGTCAGAACGATTCTCCGTTCAAGCACGTACCAAGCTTTAAGATGGAATACGTGTTTCTACCCTATTTAGCATATTTCTTAAATGATACAACATACTTCCGTCTGATGATTACGTATCAAATAATCAACTTCTTCGGATAAAAATTCTCGTTCGTTATTCCGCTGATATTTTATCCAGCGTTAAACAAGATATGTGTGCTGTAGGCTTAATAACTTAGAGAAGTACCGAATAAACCTCGCAAATTCGAACGAGAAATCGATAAACGCAATTGGAAAACCCTAAAATCAATTCAGCGTATGCAGCGTATACAGCGTTCAATGCAGTGTAAAGAAGTACAATAAATTTTCCCCAATTTTCCTACAGCTTGTAAAAAAAAAATGGACAATTTGGAAAGAGGCGATACGATTACTCGAGCCTTGCGGCTTATTTTTATGGTTGCAGATTGCCAACAACTATAAAAACTAGGTGCAAGGCTGCAATAATCGTATCTCCTCTTTCCAGATTGTCCATTTTTGTTCACAGGCTGAATTAGTATGTCAAACAAAGTTCGTAATCGCAATGCACGCGCGTTTATATTTCTTTCGTGTAATCCTTTTGTCCGCAACAACGAATGTGATCCATTTGTTCGAATGTAAAAGCGACTTTTACCATGTACCGTAAAAAATAGAAAGCTTTATATACAAAAATGAAGTCGACCTGAGAAACCGTCGTCGTTTTTCGCTATGCTACGTGTTTATCATCTTCGCAGTTCTCACGTTCTCGAACTTGGATATCCACATAGACCATTTTATTCAACGATATTTCTACGCTAGAAGCCTACCCTGCTGTTCAATCGTTTAAAAATATCGAGTATAGTGTGTGAAAAATCGTTACTCTCTTTTATCTGAGAACAGCCTTAACCTTATTATACGGATACGGTATAATTTTTCGTCAATTTCGTAGAAAGCTATATTTTTTTTTCCTTTATTCTACAGGGTACTTCAAAATATTCGCCTATCATAGAGTTTCCATCATGATGATCGCAGGATCAGTTTTCGGTGAACACATAATTTAGAGTGGTAACAGCTTAAACGGTAATCTTTAAAAAATAGCGACTCGCGTGTGCACTTCTGTGTTTTACAACGTTCGGAAACGTAACGATCGCTGACATTCGAGTGTTCGTTAATTCTGAGGACGCGTTTTTTTTTTGTTGTTTTTTTTAATCACCGGAGATATTCTATTTTTAATGTATGAATTCATCGATTTTATTTTCGGTTCGATTATATTACGCGAAACCAATCGCTTTGCACAAAAATCTCAGTCATTCCGACAATAAGTGATCTTCTTAAACTCTAGAAAAAACTAGGCAAAGAGAAATTTCTCGAGACTTACAATTAGAAGATATTTGTAACACGGTGTTTTGTAAAATGTTTGACAGAAGATCGATACTGGAGGATCGTGTTTGATTCATTAAAATGTACTCGTTGAATCAAAACCGACTAACATAAAAATAAATGTAAAAATATTTAATAAATGTAAAGCAAATTCGAAATTATTGAATGTATATGAA